ATTTTACTGAGTTGATTTGTTTACTTTATATCATTCTATAAACACAAAGTAGCAACATTATGAATATACAATAAACACATACAAAATTACAGATTCAACACAGCAGCTTCAGGCTGCTTTCACTAAATGCACCTACATACACAGTCCTATGTTTCAAACATCTGTTCTTGCAATGCATGCATCAAGCAGAGCCAACTGAAACAGAGAACATTTACCAACAACCTTTGAAGTGTTGAGTCTTGTGGTTATTTTCAGTCATGATTGCACTACCTTAATCGCATTCATCTTTCAATAACTCATGTACAACAATGAAAGCTATGCCTACCTCCACCTGGGACATCCAAGTCTATTTTAATGTCAAAGTCATGTGCATGGAACAGATCTTCAGATACCCTTCTTTCTGGCATTTGTGCTGTAGATTTACCAGATGCAGTCAATTCAAGTCCCAACATATCCATGTCCTAAAAAATATTGGATACATTATAGAACATGTGGAGCATAACAATAAACATAATATAGGTAATTGTTATGCAAATTAGCTATTGTGTTAGGCTATGTTTCGGAGGATACTATACGAGTTATATACATTAATGTGCGTCTTTTCTCCAACCTGTATCGATCAGTGCTAAATAGCCAGCTGAGCTTTCACTTAATTGTTAATGTACAGTTCAAATGACCACACCCAATGTAATGGACACAAATTTATCTTTACACCAAAATGCAGCATATAACCATTGTGGTCTCATCTTGTTAACTTACATCTTCCGATTCCTTCTTCTCCAATTCTGCTTTTTTCCTTTCTTCCTCTTCTCGTCTTGCTTGTTCTGCTAATTTTGTTAAAAGTTCAACTGATGGCTGTATGTCTCGAGTCTAGAGGAAATAAACAAAATATTGCATAATATTTAGCAATTTAACATGTGCAAAACAAATCATCATATACCGGATTCGGCTGATACCCCGCCCTGGGCAATGTTATGGAGGATTCGATTTTTTAAAAGAAAAATGTGGAACAAAAGATCGCCCGGGCGATGTTTTGGCAGATATACGAAGCCCATATTGTCTGGAAAAATAACCCTGCGTTGATAAAAATAGTCTCAGAAAATGTTTAGAAAAAATAATGTTTTGCGTTGAGCAAAAATAATCATGCAAAGTATAAATTCAAAGTGTTTGAATACAATGGTGAGAGGTCGCATTTACGTGAACAAGAACATGCACTAAGAAGGAAAAGCATGCCAAAGTTGAAACGGGGTGCATCATAGACATGACACAACACATGCTG